GGGGTGTAAGATTGGGTGTGTGGTGAGGGTGACAATGACAAGGTGAAGGGTTGTGGGATCGAGAGCAATGGTGGACATGGTAGAGACGGATACAAAAGTGCTCATCTTCACATGATTGTTGCCTCGTCATCTGACGCGGGCTCTAAAAATCATGTGCAATAAGAGGAAAAAATTAGTGCACATAACATTTATCAAAAGTACAATCAAAATGTTAAGTGTAATATATAAATTAATGACCATGAAAACAAAGCTCTAAATAATAAATAGAAAGAAAAACTGTAAATTGTAATCTACAAATTAACATAAATGAAAATATAAATAATAACATCAAATGAAAGTATGGACAAAATGAAAATTGCAATCCATAAGCTACTTAAACTGAAAATAGAAATTTAAATAGTAAATAGAAGGTGAAATTGTAAAGTGTAACTTACAAACTACCATAATTGAAAATACAAGCAACAACTTCAAATGAAAGTACAAACAAACAATGAAGTGCAATCTACAAACTACTGCACTGAAAATAAAGATTTAAATAACAAATAGAAGGCAAAATTGTAAACTACAATCTATTAGGATATGGTGTTATTTGTTATTATAATAAAATAATTTTAATAAAGTACACATTTTATTCTGCATTATTTGATGAATGATTAGAAGCTGAACTTAATTTTCTTGTCCAAAGCATCATTAGAGTCATACTCAATAAGATTAATTTCTTAGTGTGCACCGCTAACATCCTCTAAAGTTTTCTCTTCATGAATGGAATCAGGTGAAATGCAAAAACCTGTCATTTTCTTATGAGCGAGTTCAATAGTATTTTGAATATTAGTAATCGCTCTAGGTTTACCCATGATTTCTACTTCCATATCAACTTTATCTCTCATTTTATTGAGATATCAAAGATAATTTACCTGTCTCGCTTATCTTACTAGAATGAAATTATCAAATTTAACATATCTTTTGTTTACTTTAACTTTTATGATATTATACAACTCCATTTTTGTTCTTTTTGTAAAAATTTAGAGTTGCCAGACTGTCTAGTCATTGTTGTAATATTCCCTTTTCTAAAGAGCCCTTTTACTTGAGTCGTTAGAACAATTCCGAGAAGAGGAGGGATTGAAAAAAAAGGAATTAAGAAGGAGACTAGGTAGACAAATTTAGAAAGATCTTGGAGTGCATATGTGAGGTAAATCTCATAAAATTGGTCAAGGGTGTACATCCAAAAAGAATCAGATTGAGACACCTTTAACCAAATATTCATTAAAGAATGTCTACATAAGGTATCCAAGTAACCAAAGAACCAAATTTCTGTTTTTTTTTCTGGGTTCAAGAGCAACTCCCAAAGGAGCGTATCTCTTTGGTTAATTACATTTTGGGGGATGCCTAAGAATACTCTTGTTTGAAGGAATCCTGCTTACATTTAAATGACGACTAGTGACAGGTTTCACAAAGGAAGGTTATTTCTTAGGAACAACATCCCGCTGCCTTCAAACTCTCGCTAAGCCATAGAACAGAGAGTGAATATCTCACATCCTAAATGGATAGTGGCTTGTCAACAAACAAAGCCCATGAAATAATCAAGTTGACTCATAGAGTTCACACTATATTTCCATGGTCTAACCGAGCCATAAGAGTAGAGGGTAAATCATCGTAGCTTAAATGGGCGGCGACCTATCCACAATCAGGGCCTACAAGACGACATAAAAAAAACATCAAAAGGAGCGATACAACCCAAAGTGGGTTGCAAAGAAGAGGTAAAGTGAATACTACATCTCCATTATCCCAAGCTCTTAGGGCACTAAGTCTACATAGTCATAAAGGCAACCTACCCAACACAACCAGAGATCCCTTCTCAACAATCAGTGAATTGCATCGTCTGAGGGAAGCTCGGTAGCCCTAAGGTCAAAAGAATGAAACTCTAAGTTCTATGACCCTCAATAGATGGAAAGTAGATGTGATACTTATAAATGCGGAAGTGATGAGGAAGCCGTTGAAGTTGAAAGAGGAGAGAGGTATGGTTATGAAGTCGAGATGCTTTCATAAATGACTTATTCCTCATTTTGGTCTGTGAAACCTCTAACACCCAATATGGTACTACCAACTTAAAGTTGTTGACCTTGTGAGCACATCTCAAGATCTTTATGATGTTGTGCAATAGAAACTATCTCAGTTCAGTCATGTCCACAAGATTAAGCAATCAATTGCATAACTTCTACATCATTAGTGATATGAATTTATTCTTTGGATGTTGTTCTACCTTTATGATATCATAACTCAAAATCATGTCCTTTAACTTAATGACAAATAAAGCCAAACTCCTTCATGAGCAACTGTAAATTTATAATGTTCTTTTGAAATATGATAGTTTTTTGCTTCCTACCATCGTTTCTCATTTTTTATTGTTTCTTAGATTTCATCCAATATCCACCATATCTAAAAATGATTAGTAATGAATCATCTCAATCTACTATTAAATTCATTCCTATAATTGGATCATATCAGTTATACATTGCAACATAAAATATGATTAGGCATAATAAACATAGATAAATAAAATATATAATTCATTAAGAAACTAGCAATTCATTAAAGTTTTTTTGTTAAAAAAAACACATAATGCTATCTTTTAATATCAAATATCATCTTTTAAAGGTGTATAGTCTTAGGGAAAACATCCACTCATATTTGACTTCGTTCATGAATGTTTCTTTGAAGATCTTAAATTTAGTAGATATTAAGTGTGAAAATACCATATCAAAAGGGGCTTTATTTTTTCTTGAAAAGCTTACCTTGTGTTATTGCATTACAATCTATTAGGATATGGTGTTATTTTAACATCTGTGTATTTGTGCTGAAATTTTTTTCTTGTTTGATTCTCATTTGCATAAGTGTTTTGCATGCCCCATCTCCAAGGAGCTATTGAGATTACTTCATTTATAGAAAATCTTTTGATCCAACTATCTTTTAGGCATAAAAAACTTCACTTAAATGAAATGAATTGCACTTTAAGCAAATCAAAAGTTCTTATTTTGTTGTGTCATTTGCTGATGAAAATGAGTTAATGAATAAGAGATAGATAAAAAGGCATCAAGTTAACAATTTCGATTACAATATGAGATAAACCATGAAATTTCCAAGATTATATTGTAATGAAAGTTGTTTTAAGAGCATGAGTGATTAAAAATAAATAAGAAATACCATTAATAAATGATGCAGTTTTGGGTGGAGCAAGAAGAACACCTATGACTTGAGGTAGAATCAGAACTCATAATCGTTGATTATCTCACTCTAGGCCAACATTTCTAAGCTGAACAGATAAATTCTTGAGAATTATTTTGAAAATACACAGTTTGATCTACACAGGTGAAAGCAAAAAATAAAAAATGAAATTCAAGAAAAGTAAGAAAATAAGAGAAACAACATTAATACTGCAAGAAATAAGGAGAAGTTGGAGGGAGGAGCTTAGAAGAAGTTGAAGAGAGAGCACGACGGGCCCTCAGTATTAGCTTCACTCTGGCTTTAGACAGAGCAAGAGAGATAGAGACGTAGATTAGCATGATGAAATAAGAAAAATGTTTGCATGTGAGTTTTCTAAAGGAGTGGAATGATGAAAACCAGAAACATAACAAACAATATCTACAATTTGTGGTATGTAAAATCCCCTAATGAAAAATAAGAATTATGATTTTATCTTGAAATTTGACATTTGAATGAGAATTTAAAAAAAAAAGATGAAAGAGATGTTATATTTATAAACAGTAATATTTCAAGTGCTACGTAATAAAAATAAGTGTTGTAAAATAGTGTTCTCCTAAACTTAAACATGATAGTGCATCATTACATGTTTTTTATTTAGCTAAATAATTAACATCTATTATAAAATTAAATTGATTAAATTAAAGCACATATATTTGAAATATTATTAAATAAATTTATATAAAATTTTAAAATTTATGGATTCTTACATATTGAACAAGCAAAATATTGCTATTTACATGTCTCACACCTGAATCTTTAATATTAAGAAACACATACGTGAAACCTCATTAATACCTCAAAACACGACTTTGTTAAAACATTCGTCAACTATTGCGGGTACAATCATATGAGATCACGCCGAACTCAACCTCCTCATCTTAATTCTTCTCTTCCACCACAACAAGAAAAATAAAACCAAACAAGACAATAAAAGCGGATAAAGACAAACCAATGGGCACCCAAACTATAATCCAAAAGGGCACATCCTTATGTTTCTAAGCAAATCCGATGACGATAACAAATGCTAAGAAACATCTGAGAGCAATATCTCCTCCGAAAATAAAGCAGAGGAAGAGGAAAAAACAAAAGCTGTCGGAAAAGAAGGTGATGGTGGCAGAGCAACTGCTGCTAACCAGAAGAACCAGGGGAAATTCTTATATCATGGATTGCAAAACAAAACTTGAAACTACTTAAGGCTTTTGCCTACGTTCTCAGAGTGATGGGAGCGAGCATCGTTTGCAAAGTGGTGCTTGTTAACAACACACAATTTGCGTCTGAAAGATTGTTCGTTGGAAATGGTTCAATCGGGTTGCGTTTGAAAGGTTGTTCGTTGGAAATGGTTCAATCGAAAGTTTCGAAGATGGAAGTGTCAACTAAGGAGCGTGTTGTATAATATTAAAGTTTTAGACATCACAAATACAAGTAATAGTGTTTCACATGATATTTATGTAAAAACTCCTAAATTTACGAAGTATTTGGTAGCATACTTTTAATAGGATCTAAGATCATAAAAACTCCAAATTTAATGCTCGGTTAAATCAAAATTTCTCCCATTCTTTTTCTCGTATTTCCATCTAGATTTACTAAATTTAATTGAGAGATAAATTTAAAGAATTTACTCCATCCTCATAAATTTCATCTCTAATCAACTTAAAATTAAATTGCACCCAAAAGCTTGGATAACACAAGTGTTGATTTACGACCATATTTCAAACCCTAGGCCAAAATCTCAATACGCAATTGGCTGCACTGTTCAGCGTTTGCAAAATCGTCTGATCAAGCGCAGACGCGGGCACAAATAAAAGACTGCCGTGACCCAAGAAATTTCTCCTTCTGGGCCACCAACTTGGCGGCCTCGTCCTATCAGTTCCGTAGATCTTCTTACACCTCCCCTCACAATTTTCTTGCAAACTAAGATCTGCAAGGAGAAGATCGATCCCCCTCTTTCTACTGCGTTGATCTCTGTCCTGGTATATTTTTTTTGCCTTTTCTGCATCAATTTTTTCATACCTCACAGTCAATTTGTTATTTTTCTTGGTAATTGTTTTGTGGAAGTTGGCTCAACTATTCAATTTTCTCGTGAAATGGGGTTTCGAGGCTTGTGTTTGTGTCTTTGTTCTGCTTAGATTCCTGTAAATCCGGATTAGGGTTTGAAAAAATTGTGCAGGTAGAAGGGCTGCTTGGACAGACCGCCATTTTCCTGTACCTGAGATCGATAAACGCTCTCTTGCTTAGAGTCGGTTTTTTTCATCTTCTTCTCCGCTTATAAATTTATCAGTGATTTAGGTTCCAGGTTTTTGGAGTTAGTGCAGCAGTAGTAGTGCGCCATCATTTTCTTGTCGTTTAGATTTGTATTCCTCCTATTTCATAGTAGTTGAAGTTTTAAGTTGCATCTTTGTTTTATTTTTCTACTTATGAGTTGATAATATATTTAGGATTTGGGTTTCTATAGTTAGTTTAGAAGAAATCTGTTGTTTCCTTGGTTCGTAAATTTATTAGTTTTCTGTTTTTTTTTTAATTACTTTGCGTGTTCCTGGTAGTTAGGGGAAGAATTCGTAGATTTGCTGTAATGACTGGTTGATGAATTCATGCGTAGGGGCACAGCACTATTCAAGAGAGCAAATAGACTTGCTGGAGATCAGGAATCATGTTTGGACGTGCTTCAAGGAAGAGTGACAATACTAGGTACTACGAGGTTCTTGGGGTTACAAAGAATGCAAGCCAGGATGAATTGAAGAAGGCATACAAAAAGGCTGCTATAAAGAACCATCCAGACAAGGGTGGAGACCCTGAGAAGGTTGCCTTTTGACTTATTAATTTGGTCTTGTTACTCTTGGTGATGCTAAAGTGAAACACTGGGATTTCTTGTGTTTTGTTTCATCCAAACTTTACTTAGCTTGTCTTGAATTAATCTAATTTGATTAGAAGCTTTTACCTGACTGCTTATAATTTTATTTTTGAACAGTTCAAGGAGTTGGCTCAGGCTTATGAAGTGCTAAGTGATCCTGAGAAGAGGGAGATCTATGATCAGTATGGGGAAGATGCTCTTAAAGAGGGAATGGGAGGTGGTGGTGGTGCTCACAATCCTTTTGATATATTTGAACAGTTTTTTGGTGGTGGTTTTGGCGGTGAGAGCTTTGTCTTTTCAGTCAATAATTGTTTGCATGTAACTGATTTATTCTAAAACGATTTACGGTTCAATAATTGATTGCATCTTTAAGGTCATAATTTTTAGCCACATGTTTAGCAGTCTCCAATCCGCTGTGCATCATTAAAAAAATTCTTATTTATTTTTTATCTTACATGCCATGTTTTCAGGTGGAAGCTCAAGAGGTCGTAGGCAAAAGCGCGGTGAGGATGTTGTTCATACCCTAAAGGTTTCTCTGGAGGACCTTTATAATGGAACCTCTAAGAAGCTATCACTTTCAAGAAACAGGCTATGCCCAAAATGCAGAGGGTATGCCTTCTATCCAAATCTACAAAGAAATGAAAATGATGCAGTAGGTTGAAGGAAGTTTATTATGATGCGTACTTCTTCTTTAAATTTTGTGGTAATGCTATTCACTTCTAATATAATGAGTAATATATAACAAATTTTAAAGGACATACTGTACATAATTTAATCAAGAAATTTTAGCTTATCTGCCATATGTTCATGGCTATAGCTCTCTTTATACATATATCTTTGTTCCTCTATTATGTCAATAGGAATGAATTAATATCTATATAGCTTTTGAAAACTTTAATGCTAGGACAATTTGGGCCATGTTGTTAAAAGTACGTTTTAAAGAATGACTTGGGAGTGAAGCGAAGCGATGCGCTGATTCTGCGAATTGCTTCCTTGTAAAGTGCAATCTCACGTTAAATTGGGTGTCACATGAATTTTGTCACGTCACATTGTAGTGTCTTGCGCTTGAATCCAACTTAGAATGAAGTTCTGTTTAGTTTCATTGTTTTGTTCAGCATTTGACACGATAATTATGTATGATCATTTTTTTTCCCTCATTGTTTTATCTTTTAAATCATTGGTCATTTTTTTACATTCTCTTCTATTAGAGCCAGCCATTTCTTTGTTGTTTTTCTCTTCACATTCAGCCCCCTACTAGTTTTTATATGCTTTTCACTAGTTTTTATTGTTGGCATTAGTAAATTTTTTACTTATGAGTTTCTTCTTGAGAATATTTGTCTCCTCTTCACACTCTCTCTCATATCATATTGCTGCTGCCTATCAGTCTCTAGCAAATTACTCCATATAATGATTATATTTTTGATTTTATGTATTGTTGTATCACTAAATTAGCTTATTTATTTATGTAACTTATACTTTTTTTTTAAATATGTAAAATAACTGCTATTGAATATATCGTTATATTTTTGCTAAAAAAATTTCATCTGGTGTGGTTTATGTTTCATGAATGCTCTAGTTAGTAAAAGCAACACTTCTCTTTGCACTTTGTTTATTGAAGAAAAAAGAAAAAATATTTATAAGAAGTGCTTTACGAGCCTGTCTTACTAGACATGCCCTGTTTTTTGTAGTTGAGATTATCATGGAACCCTGTCTTTGTATTGAATCAAATCATTCCAATTCTTTGTGTGATTGATTAAGAAATCTTGGGTGCCATTATGAAGTCCCTCTTAGTATACAAGTGAAACTAGAAGAACAATTTCCAGCAGGCATTGTTTTTTCATTACAATTGCATGGTATCTCTTGACATTTTTTCTTTTTTGATAAATATTACATTAGATTGGTCTCCAATGAATAATCTAAGGTAGTCTGTTTATATTGGGTCAGTCTATGTTGAGTTTTATATTGGTTCAGTTTGTATCGGGTGTAGGCCTCCTGAAGGTATGGAGGAGTGCAATTTACATCAGGTTGAATGGAGCTAGCCTTGGAGTTCAAGGGCATATGGAGTTTCATTACAAGAATTTACTTCGAGCAAAATGAATGTTTACCTGAAAGGCGTTTTGCCCCACTTAGTTTTTGGATGAAATTATGACTGAAACCAACGTTTGTACTGTTAGAAAATCATTTTATATGATTTATTGTTTAAATTTGTTTGCAATGTGCTGTCTTGCTTCATTCTCTGACTTTAGCTGCTGCTGTATTTGGCTCTATCTGTAGTGATAGCATTTTCGTTAAAATATTGGATTGACTTGCATGAATCTTATCCACTGTTCTCCTGTATGACTGATTTCATATCGCCCTTGTTCTGATTCAATAGTTTTTTTTTTGACGATTTTGCAAGGTTTGTTCCTTTTTTTTTTTTTTTTTTTTTTTTTGAAGTAAAACTATTGAGCAAGTTGATATCCTTGTTTGATTGGTGTATGTCCTTTAATCTGTAGCTGTTTGTTTATGGGTTTCAACATTTTTATATAAACAGTTTTCATTGAAGCTATTTCTTGAATAATGATATCTGAGTCACTGATATTCTTGTTTGATTGGTGTATGTCCTTTAATCTGTAGCTGTTTGTTTATGGGTTTCAACATTTTTATATAAACAGTTTTCATTGAAGCTATTTCTTGAATAATGATATCTGAGTCACCATGAGACCGGTTAAATTGATGAAAACAATAATAAAGTTACATGCTTTAAAAAACGTTTTCATGTAGGGGAAGAATCATTTTTACTTGTTGAAACTTTATTAGCTTGAATGAGATGCGTTCATATCTTGAAGTAACTTAAAAAAAAAGAACGAAAGAACTCATAAATGTAGGTTAATAATCCTAACAATGTGCAGATGCTCAAACCTTATCATTTTCGATGTATTTTGATCAATTATTGTAATTCAGTATGTTTGGTGGGTCTTCAAGGGACTTTGCAGCATAGCTTGGTTTGGGATTTAGAGCGATAGTTAGGTTGCTCTTTTTAGATTTTGCTGCTATCCAACACAAATGCATCTCTATTAAAACATGTCACATTTATTGATCCCCTCCCAAGCCTTCTAGCTTGCACCTTTTTTGTTTGATCAATTTCAAACGAGTGAACCTGATGTGCATCGATGCTTATTGGCGCTCATGCTTCCATAAAGGTGTCTAGTTTCAACGTGTTGAAGAAGTCAGGCTAGAATTTTTTCAAGTGAAGTCTATGGTGTAACCAACGTCAATTTTAAGGGTGGGCAAAATTACCAAATGTTAAAATCCTTTTAGGAACTGGGCAAAAAATCTATCGATATTGTGCAAAATTACTAAATTAGCTAAATTATATTGAAATTTTTTTTTTTCTAGGGAAATCTCAAAGTTTAGGATCCATTGAGTGAAGTAGCAATTCATAAATGAGTAAGAATGAAATTTGATGAGTTGCTTTGTGCATAATTTTTTATTGCTATTTTTCGTATTTTTACAACTAAGTTTATGGCCTATATAAATTTTATTTTGATAAGAATTGGTTGAAAATATATTGTGGATAAGTACTGTCACGCACAAGTAATGCAACATAAGTTCTTATAGCAGATAGTGACTATCATTCTTTATTCATAAGCTTCACAAGTATAATAATCATTAATATGCAAGAGTCCTAGTGATAGCAAATATAATGCGCAATTCCTGGTCACATGTAAAAACCATCTAAAGGGGGAACTCAAGCATTTATGAAGAAATATTAAAAATGAGTGCTATAAGTGTATCTGAAACTTTCTTATGAGGATAGCTGACTAGAACAATTATATCAAATATTTACCTTTAAAAAAAGAAAAAAAAAAGACTCAGATGAAAATGAAATCAAATGACATACTCCAATGATGAATTAACTTTGCAGTTATGATGGCATCAAACATTAAATAAACTTCTAATGGCAGCAGATAATAAACTAGTTCCGAAGTCAAACTCCATAGTCGTAATCAATGAGGTTCAACTATGTCCTACGCAATGGTTAAAATATGCAAAATCGGGAACCAAGGCATTTTGTGGGCGAGGCGTAAGTTTCGAGGCAGATTGAGGCGTAAGCCTCATGAAAAAAGTCATAAAATTGAAAATAATTCATAAATATGATATAAACCATTAATATGTTGATTTAATTTATTATAATAAAAACAAATCAAATATTTTAATATTAAATATTAATATAAATAAAAGTTTGAACTATGATTCTCGGTAAACATTCATTTAAAATTTATATAATATATGAGGTTCAAGATCCATAGTGGCCTCATCCTTGCTTTCATCTTCTTCAAAAGAATACGCACCTTGAGGCGTAAGCCTCAAAAGCCTTTTTAAACAATGATCCATTGTGGCCTCATCCTTATTTCATCATCTTCAAAAGAAGACGTATCTCAAGGTGTAAGCCTCGAAAGCCTTTTTAAACAATGGTCCTACTAATATTTGTCAAAATGGTGAAGATGACCGAAGTATTTAGCTTCGTTCTGATTATTGGCTGCACCAGCGACACTTTTAAATGGGTTGAGCTCATCCCAGTTTTCAATCCAGGTGATTGGAGCTTCAATAATTTAGTTGAAGAGTGCGGCAACCCCGTCTTGTACTTCCTTTCTTCAATAGCTCAATGTAAGAAAAACATGCCACATATTTTGACAAAGAATCATGCAAAGGTTCATTTCATCATCACGTTCAAATAAAAAATTGATGCAATTTTTTCAGGTGTTCTACTTTTTTAAACTCAATAAAATTTCCAGTTAGACTAAAATAAGGTTACTGAAATTATCTACTTGGGATGTCATGAAGTAGCTAACAGTAACCTACTCAATGCGTCAAGTTAAACCAAGCATACATACAGGCTCATTTGAAAGGAAGAAGCGGGGTGGTGATAGCCATTCCTTTAAGAGGGAAAGCCAACCTGTAACAGTAAAAGCTGCAAATACTTTTGGATTGTTTGCTATTGGTTTCCTGTTTTCTGTTTCACGATGGGTTCATGCATGCTTACTTTCTGTTTTATGGATACTTTTATATTTCTTGTATTTAGTTAAGAGTTCTATTTTATTCGTTATTGTTTTAACACCTTTGCTTTGTTGTACATATTGTTATTTCAAATGTAATTTTGAACACAAATATTCCATGCCTGTAGTATCCTTTTTAACAATAAATTTTACATAGTATTACTACACTATTTGCTGCTGTGGTTGTACTATGTAAGCATACCTTTCATCACACATCATTTTTAGCCTTATCCAAACTGTTTCGGGGTGGCATCACAAAGCGTATATTTGTCAACTTAACCCTAATCATGTTTTAGATTCATTTTTATGTGAACGTTACTAGTTTAGTGTACTGATGGCAATGTTGATATGAAAATTATAACCTCTCAACAATTTTGGATTTATGGGACTTACTTTAGTCTGCCAAACTCGATGTTTGCTGCTGTCGTTGTACTCTGTAAGCATACCTTTCATCACCCATTATTATTAGCCTTATTCAAACTGTTTTGGGCTGGCTTCAATAAGCGTATCTTTTTTCAACTTAACCTTAATCATTCTTTAGATTCATTTTTATATGAAACTTTACCAGTTTAGTGTACTGATGGCAATGCTGATATGGAAATTACAACCTCTCAACAAGTTTTATTAGGATTTATGGGACTTGCTTTTCTTTGAAGTCTGCCAAACTTGATGTTTGTATTTTGTTTGGGTTTGATCTTTTAATTCTGGATGCTTGGGCATAATGCCGCATCCTAATGATAACCATAATCCTACATATGCAGTTTATTTCAACTTTAATTCCCTATTTTATTTATTTGTGTTTTTGAATTCATAATTGAATAAGATATTGATTATTTGTTTCGTTTTTATGATCTGTTTTTCTTACGTAACTTTAACTATTTCAGCAAAGGATCAAAGAGTGGAGCATCAGGGAGATGTTATGGATGCCAAGGCACTGGAATGAAAGTTGTAACTAGACAGATTGGGCTAGGAATGATCCAACAAATGCAACATGTTTGTCCTGAATGCAGAGGCTCAGGTTGTTTGCATTTAACACTGCTTATCTCTGTCACTTTGATCTCTCCACTAATCATTTTTTTTTGCAGGTGAGGTTATCAGTGATAAAGACAAATGCCCACAATGTAAAGGAAACAAAGTCACTCAGGAGAAGAAGGTACTAGAGGTGAACGTTGAGAAGGGAATGCAGCATGGTCAAAAGATTGTCTTCCAGGGAGAGGCAGATGAAGCTGTAAGGCCGCCACCATCTCTTTTATTGGGCAATTTCATTCCTTTCTTTGGGTTTGTTCTTACATGCAATAACTTGCTATTATGAAATATGTTATTTAAATTCTTCTCCCTCATCACTGGTGTGGTATTGAATTGAGTTTGCGCTGGATAAGCTCAATTTGCAATCAAAATTTTTTGGTTTTGTTGAGAAGGTTGAAGGTACCTGATTTTGGGTTGGTTCATGCTAAATTGTTTAATAAAGAAAGTATTTTATTTTTAATTGTTATTAAACATATATTCATATTATTTAAGCATTTATACTTAATATTAGTTGCATATAATATTAATTTGTACATATGCACGCTTTTTTTGTTTATATATTTGTGAAAACACATGTTGTACTTATATGTTTGTTGAGCGCATTTTTGTGTTAAATCTAATTGAGTCATCTAGGACAAAGCATATTAGTTTCGATTTAAATTAGACTTAAATTCTAGTGATTGTCCAGTAAGTTTCACTTCGCAAACAAAATTGCCTTAGTAGAGGAGCCCTCCCTTCATGAAGTAATTTTATGATTGTTGCTATAAGCTCCATGGATGGCTTACTTGTATGCATTGCCGCATTCTTTTATGCAAAAAGGGCTTGTCTGCTGAATTTTGTACTGAGAGTTTCCAAATTAAAACTGCACTTTTACCTGAAAATCTTATTTTTTTTTATTGAGATCTAGCTGATATCAAAATTTTTTGAGAGAATTTGAACCTTAGCAAATATGCAGTTGTTGGCTGTTGAGCATCAAATCTTTCCAAAGGCCTACGATCCATCTTATATGACTTTTATTATTTTTATAACTTAACCGTACTATATAATGTTTTCTGCAGCCTGATACAGTGACAGGAGACATTGTCTTTGTTTTGCAACTTAAAGAGCACCTTAAATTCAAGCGAAAGTTTGATGACCTGTTTGTGGAGCATACACTCTCCTTAACCGAGTCCCTCTGTGGCTTCCAGTTTGTTTTAACGCATCTTGACGGCAGACAGCTTCTTATCAAGTCAAATCCTGGCGAAGTTGTCAAACCTGGTACGACTTGTTCTATTAGCCTCATCTGTATCTTGATATTATGAATTGGTTTTTAACGCCAACCCTCTAATCAGGTCAATCGAAAGCCATCAATGATGAAGGGATGCCTCATTACCAGAGACCATTCATGAAGGGTCGACTGTACATCCATTTCAGTGTGGAATTCCCTGATTCTGGAGTTCTTTCTGCTGATCAGTGCAGGAAACTGGCTGCAATTCTTCCACCCAGAACAAGCTTACGCATGACAGATATGGAGCTTGATGAATGTGAGGAAACCACCATGTATGATGTCAATATTGAAGATGAGATGAGACGAAAGCAGCAACAACAACAACAAGAAGCTTACGATGAGGATGAGGACGCCGGCCCACGGGTACAGTGTGCCCAACAGTAAGGTTTAATTTACTTGCAGCAGCAGTCGATATCTGTCTTTATATCTTGTTCATGTTCATGTTTCTATGATTATATTTTTATGCGTTGAGTGGATTTTCTACTAGAATCATTTAATTACTGCACATATCAACATATAGTTTAGAATCTCCTGATACAAATGCTTCCTAAATTCTTATTATGTGTTGTTTCTGGGTTTATATTCTCAATTGTCGTTTGTCTTTGCTGGATGGTTTATTTGTTTAATATATCTTAATATGTTGTGTGTGTTTTTGTTTTGCAATGTTAGTCTGATTTCTTTATCTGAATATTTGGATGGTCGTTTTGATAGTGGTGTAGAGTGCAGGTCTGGAAAAATAGTATGGTGCTTCCATTTTGATTTTGTTTTCATGGGTTCAAATCATGATAGCAGTAAGGTAAAGGTACGGCCATTTTGTTTGCTGCATATAACATCATCATTATTATTTTGGATTGGTGTTATGAGATTATAAATTTTTTTCCCCTCTAATTTTTATATATGCTTTTCGAAATTTAAAAGTTAATGAGATTTATGTTAATACATAGGAATTGATTGGTATGTATGTAAATCTTCTTAGATTTTAATCTCATTTATGATAAAAATTAATCAAAATCAAAACAGAGTTTGAATCTCCAAACTAGCAAAATTATAAAAAATTATCAAAACCAAACGCGCTGAGACTGGAACGTCAAATTGCACTGAAATTTAATGCCTCGTTTAATAAAAGGTCAGACATGTAGCTGCAGAACTGGCAATTCTTTTGTTGATAAAAATCATCGTTGTTTTTTTTGAATGATGGGTCATGATTGACTTTGTTACCTGATTATTTTCCATCGCCCGTAGAAATGCCAAAGTGATGAGCAGGTATTTGTAAAGGTGTAAACAGCCAACTATGATTGAGCTTGATGTGTTAATTTTTATGCTTGCTCATGTTTGTATTTTTTCTGGTTTTCAGATTTTATTTAAAATTGTTCGTAAATTATATGTTCTTCGATTCCCAATGAAGTTTGTTCATTTTGCATGTACATTGAATTATAAAAAGGAATTTAAAATTAAAATATTTGGTATAATTAAGTACACAATAAAATCAAATATATAAAGCAACATGCAGTATAATAAGTTTTTTCTCAAGTTCTTTCTATTGTTATATATATTTTTTTTCTCTAGTCTTTTTAATCTCTTAATATTTTGTTAGTACAAGTATTTGACATGGATGGATTTGGGTCCAGCATCTTGGTTACAAATTATGCAAAATCTTATCGACTTGCTTGCTTGGAAGCGCAAAATTTATGCCCTTAGTTATTTATTTTTCTGTTTTTTTTCCAAACGACTAGGAAATTTGATCGTTGAGGGTGAGGGGAACCGCAATATGTTCTTTGCTTTCAATGAATTTGTTCGTTTGTCATGTAGATTGAATTATAAAAAAGAATTTAAAATAAAATAATCTTATAATTAAGTACACAATAGAATCAAATATATAATGCAACATGTACTATAAGTTTTTTTCTCAAGTTCTTTTTACCTTTTTGTTATATATAAATATTTTCTCTACTCGTTTTGATCTTTTAATGTTTTGTTAGTATAACTGTTTGACATCGACCGATTTGGGTCCAACATCTTGGTTACTAATTATGCAAAATCTTATCGACTTGCTTGGAAGCGCAAAATTATGCAAAACGACTAGGAAATTTGATCATTGAGGGTGAGGGGAACGACAACCATTGGCGGCCAATAGTAAAAAAAAATATGAATATTCCTTATTAAATGCTTGCGCAAGCTTCAATTTTGTTTATTTTCCCTTTCATGTCTCTCTATTATCTCTCTTTTTTCTTTAATTTTTCTCATTCAAAAGATTGAAGTTATTTGTGGCCATAATTTTCATGTTAAACGCATTGTTTTATAATTAATTAGTTTTTGTTGTCATATAATACTTTGAGTTACTATAGTTTTCTTCGTAGGAAAATCATCGCATGTAATTGTTGTAATAGTTTGCGTGGAATAAACATCCAAGATGTGTAGCTTGATTTCATGTTTTTCTATTATTTGATGGAGAGTTAAGAGACAGGAATGATATCTTGACTGCCTAATTATCTAATTCAAAATTTAGAGTATGATTTTAGAAGCTTTGAAACAAATGATTCTACGAGATTACACTGATATCTCATCATATATTGCGCTGGTCAATATATTATGGAACACATGTTAGTTTTTTGTTTGGGCAGGGTGAGCGCTTGAGCCCCCACCACTTGGGGTTCTAAATTTTGTTTCCAATTAATATTTTGCGCATTTGAGCACAAGAAGCAAAGTTGATAGAAATTTAACCCCCTTTAGTTTGCAGCAAGTTTACTTTGTGTGATTGAAAGATATTATGTGGGTATGATGATGATGCTATTATCATGAAGATATCTATTAATAAGGTGGCTTTATTATGCAGCAATGTTGACAATTTAGTCCATATATGTCTTCTCACAATCTAGGAGAATATTAGACTATGGTCGTCTATTGTCAAACTTATGAACTTCAACCTACGCAGATCCTGTGCCATCAACGATATGAGATACTTGGCCATTAGAAATGATTCCCTATACCCAACTACAACTACCATTTGATTTGAATCGTTTCAAAAATTGGTCACTAGAAATTGTTTGACATAAAATAATGATACAAGCTGTCAAAGCAGTGTATCAATGAAGAAGAAAGAGGTATGACAGTTGTTATTATTTTATGAGCTTCTTAAAATGATAGAAGGTTTTAAATAGTTCCTAAAGAATTAGATGATACTCAAGAAGTAATATAATCATCTTAATTAAATATTATCGAGATTTTACATCATTCAGTGAAAAAAATCAAAGTATTGTTTAGCTTTGGAAAAAAAATTCCAAGAAGTTTAGCATATTCTTACTTATTTATAAAAGAAGTCTTCCCTATTTCTTAATGACATTCCTATTGGTCAAGGGGGCCTTCCATCTATCCTGCTTAATTGGTGGAGTTTCATGAAATTCAGATGGGAAAATTATGGTTTGATTCAAGGAGGGTTCACAAATGATGCACATTGATTCTAAAATTTAAATTGCGTAGTAAACATTAATCTTTCCAATTTTTATACTTCCTTAAAATATGACTTAAATTAAGGAGTTATTTCCATTTATTAGAGGAAATTCGAAATTTAAATTTAAAGAGGATATGGCTGACTCCCTGAAGAAATTCGTTGACTTCTTTTGTTCTTTTAATTACCATGTAAAGACTATTAGTTTGCGGTAGTTATGTAATTGAAAATAAACCTATGTGATATGGTCTTGAATGCATATTTATTTTCCTATGGAAGGCTTGGTGGCTTTTTCTTATGAGAACTTTTGTGAGTTGCGCATTAAATATAAGTTGTCTTATTATAATCATGAATGAAGGATGTATTTTTAATTTTTTTTTATAAATTTTATATTTCTTTTATTGTTCATGATGCTACAGTGCAGCTCTCCACCAACTCATTTTTTAAATATATAGTCTCGATTCTCATTCATTATTCCACAAATCATAACTATGATCCCATCCATCCACTACCTCCATATTGATGCCATACAATATGACTTTCATTTGGAATATCATCAACCAATATGCCACCAATGTTTGCCTATATATCAAAAGAACTCTATTTTCTTGCTACTTCGAAACTTTGGCTTCGTTTAAGAAGTCAGTGAAGTTGCGCTCGATTACAGTAAACACTGACATCTGGAAAAATTTTCTTTTGGTACTTCGAAACTTTGGCTTCGTTTAAGAAGTCAGTGAATCTGGAAAAATTTTCTTTTGGTGCTGACATCTGGAAAAATTTTCTTTTGGTAAAGGAGTGCCTTCTAAATGTTTGGTAGTCGAGAAGTTGCATTGTAGGAACAACAAATTTTCCTCATTCAGATTGTAGTTGCCCTTCGTTCCGCTTTCGAACGAAGTCTTTATTCTCATCAAGCTTTAGAACGTATACTCTTAAAAATGAAGCAAGTGAATCCATAATAAAATTCTTAGAACATAGATTCTATTTTCATCAGTGTATTGCTTCCCACTAAAATTTGAAATTATTGATCACTCATTTTGATCCTTCAAGAGCTTTTTCTTTTCCTTTTTTTTTAAAAAAAAATTCTGATATTACTAAATAGAGATTATAAAAATACAAAATTTTTTTATTAAATATCTATTTACATGCCATTGTCATATTTGCTTTAAAAAGTTTACTAATATTATAAATCTCACAGTAAAATAATATTTTTTTTAAATTTTGAATATCATTATTAAAAAACTAGAATTTCTCATACTTTGGCTATAATTAATTATTGTTTATGAAATAGAATAAACTGTTATCGTTAATATATATATATATATTAAAATTACTATATCAGAAAATGATTGATATCAACGAATAAAATTATTTTAACTGTAGTTCACCAGATATGTATTTAATTTATTTTTTTGCCTCAAAACATAAAGTCGAATTCAAAGTTTATATATAACATGAAGTTAAATGCTCCTCTTTATACTAATCAATAAAACCCTAAAAGCGACCTTCTCCATTGATATACATGTACAGAGTTTAGTGAACTTGCCGAACCAAGTTTAGAGCATTGTTAACTATCACTGAAGCGCTTCAAATCTCTTCTAAGATGTTGTAAAGCAATTCGTTGAATCCTTAAAAGCTATGCTTACGAGCTTTGAAGCTGATGCTCCGCTTTATAAGACCTAAGGAGAGCCGAATAATAATAATAATAATTGCAATAATTACAGGGAATTTACGTACCACACAATTCATATATGTTTACATATCTGACATGAACATTTATAGTTTCTTGCATGTCATTCAAATCTTTTATATCATATCAAAAAATTCATAATTACTATGTTTTAAAGTTAAAATACGCCTTTTCATGCATCAATTTGTGGAAAAAAATTGTGTATGTAAGACGTACGCAGCGCTGCATGCACAATGGAGGTTATATGAGCGACATTATATTCGCGTTATGTCCCTTGTAACATCCATGTAACATCTATATAACCTATTTGTAAATACATAACAATTGTGTGGTATGTAAGCAGCAACAGTACTAGTAATAATAATAATAATAATACTACTGTTGCTAATAAATAAATGCAAAAACCTGGATATTCTCCCTCTCATGGAGGCATAGGCTGCAGAGGTTAAAGTTGAAGGCACAACTGTGAGCCATGTAGATAATAGTTGGTTACATAGGCTGTAGAGGTAAGTGTG